CAAAGCAACAAGCACATGGCACCGGAGACCCAACACGACGAAGAAACAGCACTTTGGTGAACTGGAGCAGATCTCAAACCCAGCAGCGACACAAGCGGCACCCATCTGGAGGCACAGCAGCATGCCCTGTCGAGTGGGCTGAGTCCTCTCATGGACATTGTAGGACGAATTAATGACACATAATCAGGACTTAGGCCAAAAATCCTCAGAGTTGTTGCTTTGCTTAGATCACCTAACAGGCTAGCTGTGAAAACTCACTGGTTCGGCGTATGCATGCCTGGTAGGACTCGCAGATACACAGTAGAGCGATATCTATATTTAACATGTGATGTGCAGGGCATCATGCTCAGCAACCTAACATGCCATACAAGCGAATTACAATCCCCTAACTTGCTGTTATACACCATGTCTGGTATCTCTATTTTTCTGTAACTCCTGTGCACAAGCATTTGACATGTGAGCATTGCATATAAGCATCGTGTTTGTCAGAAGCATTGAATCTTTGTTATCTTAAATTTTTTTTTTACGTACATAACCTGTGCAAAGTTTCTTATAAGCACGTTTATTATAACAAAAAAATATGCAGTGTTAACTCATTGTTCTGCCCTGAGCTGCTGGTATCTGCCTTTGTGGCAATAGCGGTAAGTTGTACCATCTATGCATATCAAAAATAAAGAATACAAAAAAACAAAAAACTTAGGGACATCATAAGAATGGGTAAAAGGGAAGGGTACTCACCAGTCTCCTGACAGAAGCGTAGTAAAGCTAGCTTTCTCACCCACCCGCCCTAGAACTGCAAGTATGTATGTTGTCTTGTAGGTTGTGGGTGCTGTTGTTTCTTCTTTGTTTTGTCTCAGCTCGCGGTAATCCTGGCCAGCGCAGTTAAAAATGGAAGAAGGTGCCCAAGGCGACTTGGGGAGTCACAGCCTGCTAAGAGCTGATGGAGGGGGCAGGCTGCTCTGGACTCTTGATTCATATTGGATAGAGCTGTCTGTTGGTGAAACACCCCAACAGCTGACAGAGTTAAGATGCTGGCAAGAAGTTATTAATAAAGCTTTGTCCGTTGCTCTTACCCATATCAAGTGTTCTCGTGTATTTATTGGGCAACGGGTGGTTGGAGTTTTTTTCTGGTCAGCAGTCATGCTCATTTTGGTCCCAGTTTTTTTTTCTTTTCAGTCTATTAAATTAGAACACTTATTTTATTTTAGTGTATTTAATTTGCAAGATCTTTCTTCTGTAGTGTTACTCACATTTTCTTTTCTCCACAGAGATCACTGACAGAAGATCCATCTTCTGGGATTGGGACCTGGAGGAGTTGGTTTCCTGAGGAGAAAGAAAAGTACGGTCACCGCCAACATAATCACTGTTAATGCTACGAATACCGTCCAACGATCCCTTTCAATATTATAAAGGGGGAACTACACTCTTAGCCACGGATTAACAATGTGGCAGCTCCATTCTTCTATCTTCCTTTTATAAAAAAAAAAAAAAGTTTTTTGTCTAATAAGAATCTGTAATATAATAAAAGGCAAAGAGAGAAAGAATGTATGTCTGCCTCAAGACCCTCTCACAAACACAGCATCATTCACACACACACGACACCCCCTCACACACACACATCATCCCTCACACAAACACACTACACCCCTCACACACACACAGAACCCCTCACACAAACACACAGCACCACCCCACACACACTTTGCACCCTTCATACACTCTGCACCCGTCACACACACACAGACACTTCACCCCTCGCACAAACACACTGGACCCCTCAACACACACAGCACCCTTAACACCTCTTAATGCTTCAGGGCTTGGGCTGGGGGGGTTCCTTTCAGGTCTTCGTTTTTTTTTGGATCACTTAGAGCGGGGGGCAGGTAGTGGGGACACCTCTTTGACAGTTAGCTGCGGTCAGTTTGGTCCCCCGCGCTGCTCCCTCCGGCAGTTCAGTCTCCTTCCCCCTCTGCCCCCCTTGAAGTTGTGGGTGGGGGTTCACCCTCCCTGGTACCCGCGGCGGTCGGGGCTAGAGGGACCGTGGGCGACGGTTCACCCGAGGCTGGGGTTGCGGATGTGGCTCGTGGCGCAGCATATATGCCCTAGTCGGGCCCTCTGGGGCTCCACTTGAAACAGGAAACAAGGGGCAAGATTTGGAGGGGGGAGTTCATTGAGATTTTCTCTCTCCTACTGCTGGAGGACGCCCCTCCGGTGGCGGAGAAAGACAGCAAGGAGTCGGATAAGGATAAGGATAAATTTTGTTACCGGAAGATTCCCCCAAATTTGGGGAATTGGATTCGGGGGTTCTCTATTCTGGCCAGCGTAGTGGGTGAGAAGTCTCCCCACAAGTGCTCGGCCTTGTTCTGTTATCAGGACACGATTTGGAATGCCTGCAGGACTTATGGGGGGCTGGGGTGGTGGAGGTACAACGAAGAGTTTTGTCAACGATTGGCGGTACGCCCATCGCTGTCATGGGATCAGATGGACATTGGCCTCTGGCTTGCCATTATGACCTGTCCAGCCCCACACCAAGGTGCCTTTTCATCCTTTCTTGGGGGGGACGGTGGGGGCTCCTCCGCGTCCCCATCGGCCCTCACTCAGAGGCCGGGTTGTTGTTGGAAATTCAACGACAGCCACTGCAAGTGGGGTTCCTCGTGCCGGTTTAAGCACAAATGCTCTGGTTGCGGGGGGTGAGGGAGGGGCGCATTCTGCCTCTCGCTGTTTCAAGCAAGGCAAAACGGATGAAAGGGGGGATATGGGGCCTAAGGGTGACGACCCCGGTGCTCATAAACGCGATGCGCACGTGGCTCGACCTTTATAGGAACCAGGCTGCGGCACGGCTCCTGTTGGATGGGTTTGAGAATGGGTTTTGGATCCCTTTCTCGGAGCGCCCTCTGTTTGGAACCTTAAGTCCGTAAGGGATTACCCGCAGTTGGTACAGGATAAACTGGGTAAGGAGGTCTCCCTGGGCCGGATGGCTGGCCCATTTTCCTCCCCATCCTTGCCTAATTTGCGGGTTTCTCCGTTGGGTGTCGTGCCCAAGAAGGAGCCCGGTAAGTATTGCCTGATTCATCACTTATCGTACCCTCGTGGGGGGTCGGTGAATGATGACATCTCGGCGGAGCTTTGCAGGGTTTCCTACACATCCTTTGATGCGGTGGTGCACATGGTACGGGATGCTGGCCTGGGGGCGTTGCTTGCAAAGCCGGATGTGGAATACGCATTTCGGCAGCTCCCGGTGCATCCGGAATGCCACCATCTGCTGGGCTGTCCTTTCGAAGGATATGTCCCTGCCTATATGTTGCTCTCTTTCATGTTTCTATTTTGAGTGCTTTAGCTCTTTTCTGGACTGAGTGGTGCGGAGGGAGGCTGGGGTTGCTTCCCTCTTGCATGACTTGGATGATTTCTTGTGTGTAGGGCCTGCAGAGTCGCACGTCTGTGCCCAACTGCTGCGAGTCCTCGGGGATGTGTTCCAACGGTTCGGGATTCAGCTGGCCCACAACAAAACGGTGGGTCCGGTCACGTGCCTTAGTTTCTTGGGCATCGAAATTGATTTGGTGGCCGGGGAATGTCGGTTGCCCCAGGAGAAGGTCCTGGACCTGTGCTTAGCTGTCTCACAGGTCATGGGGCGGCGGAAGATCCAGCTGCGCTGCCTGCAGTCTCTGCTGGGGAAGTTCAGTTTTGCCTGTCGGATTTTGCCCATGTGGTTTATCTTTAACGGGAACTTGGCGGCCGCGACGTCTGGGGTCGTTCGCCCTCAGCACTTCATCCGGCTCACGCGGTTGTTTTGGCCGTCTGGGATTCCTTTCTGGCTTCGTATAATGGGAGGTCATACGGCAAGCCCTGAAAGTCTCTAATGCGGACCTCCACTTGTTTACCGATGCGGCTGTCTCGTGGGGTTTGGGGCCATTCTGGGTTCAAAGTGGTGTGCGGACTTGTGGCCAGAGGCCTGGCATACGACAGAGCTAACTCGGAACTTGGCTTTTCTGGAGCTCTTCCCTATTCTGGTGGCTTTGGAGTTGTGGGGCTCCCTGCTGAAGACAGACGGGTGGTTTTCCATTGCGACAATTTGGCGGTGGTGCAGGCTGTTAACCAGCTGACCGCCTCCTCCCCCCCATGGTACGCTTGCTACGGCGCTTGGTTCTGCGCTGTTTGGAGCTTAATGTTTCTTGTAGGGCTGTGCACATCCCGGGGGTTCACAATGTAATGGCCGTTTCTCTCTCTCATTCACAGTGGGACGTGTTTGAGGGGGGTAGCCTTGCAAGCAGACTTGGAGGGTGTCCGATGCCCGCCAGGGATGTGGTAGTTGGGTCTGGCAGACTGATGGAGTTGGTCCGGAGATCGGTGGCAGCTGCCACATGGACCCGCTCTAACCAGGTGTTGAGGGCATGGGACGGGTAAGAACTGTGCTTCCGGGACTCGGCTGCTCTCCTGCAGGTGCTGGTGCTCCTCCTGTGAGACTGGGATGCTGCGGGGTTGTCCCCCTTGGCCGTTGCTGCACGCTTGTCAGGGCTCTGCTTCCTGTTCAAGTTCCGGGGTTGGGACGTTTATAGTCCGCCACGCGCTAAAAGGTTTGAAGCGAGGAATGGTGTCTTTCCGGGACTCGAGGCAGCCTGTCTCGGGCTCTCTCCTTCTTACGCTGTATGATGCGGTGCCCGGGGTTTGCCATTCGGAATTCGAGTTTCCAGTTTGTTTTGGGGGTTCAAGGGATCCCGGTCTGCCACACGATGTGAGGCGGCCAATTTTTTTCGGGCTGATGGTGTTCACCTCACGGAGGTCAGGATTGACCTTTTCAATCTCGCCCTGCAGGAGGCGGTGGAACAGGCCATGGGTGGTTTTGGTGGGGTGTCCTGCTGATTTTAGGTGGTAAAACAGCGGGTCTGGTGGCGAGGGTATGTCCTTGCCAATTAAGTTTGTGGGGTTATGTTTTATGGTTGAAGTGCGTTAATAAGTTGGCAAGTCTCAACCTCTCAGCCTGAGGTATCGTGCCCATTGAGCATGGATAAGGTCGGCTGATGGCGGGCATTGGAATGGTATGATTTATGACGAGGGGGGAGGTGAGAGGAAGTGGTGATTAGGAACCACGGTATGTTTATTGGCAAGGACGGTTGGGTTACTGTATAACACTGTGTGTTGTTATATATTTATATTAATTTATGCTTATTTATGTTTAACAATTTTGGTTACAGAAAGAAGATTTTGAATAAATAAAGTTATGGATGTGTTATGCAGTATTTATTTATTTATGTTATAATAAATGCTGTGGCCTGTTTCAGCCATACTAAGCTGTCTGTCGTTATTGGGAGGGTTTAATGGGGTTAATTTATGTATTAGGTAGCATCGGAAAATTCCCCACTACGTACATACATGTCTTTTCCTCCTGTGCTGTCCACACACAGTGGTGTGTCTCTCTCTCTCCTCATACTCTGCCCCCACACCTTCAACTTTCTCAATATCATCCCCCAACCTTGTGTCCCTGCTTCCAAATCTTCCCCCCTGTCTGTCCCTTTCCCCAATAGTAGTTATTCATTCACTACCTGTTCTTGTGGTAGTGTGGCCAAGCAGCATGGGACTGATAGTCCTAGCAGAATAAAAAAATTCAGTTTGGCGCCACCTGCTGTTAGGAGGGAGCAATGATAGAACATACAGCCTATTCCTTGCTCTCTATTACTGCTAGGTTATAAAAATAAAGATCCCTGACAGAGTGCACGTTGCTAGGACTCTCACTCCCTTGCTGCTCGGCTGCACAATGTGCAGTGTGACTGTGCACATACTATGTAATTAAAAAAAGCTTGCACTTGCAGAGTTACAAATCAAGTACCTGTCTTTTGTCTCTCCAGATCACATACCCTGCTAAACATTACAGGAATTATTAATGGACCACTCTAGGCACCTAGACCACTTCAGCTTAATGAAGTGGTCTGGGTGCCAGGTCCAGCTAGGGTTAACCCATTGTTTTATAAACATAGCAGTTTCAGAGAAACTGCTATGTTTATGAATGGGTTAAGCCTTCCCCCTAATCCTCTAGTGGCTGTCTCATTGACAGCCACTAGAGGCGCTTGCGTGCTTCTCACTGTGATTTTTCACAGTGAGAGCACGCCAGCGTCCATAGGAAAGCATTGTAAATGCTTTCCTATGCGACCGGCTGAATGCGCGCGCAGCTCTTGCCGCGCGTGCGCATTCAGCCGACGGGGCGGAGAGGAGAGCTCCCCGCCCAGCGCTGGAAAAAGGTAAGTTTTTACCCCTTTCCCCCTTCCAGAGCCGGGCAGGAGGGGGTCCCTGAGGGTGGGGACACCCTCAGGGCACTATAGTGCCAGGAAAACGAGTATGTTTTCCTGGCACTATAGTGGTCCTTTAACCTGTATTAACAGCTTATTCAAAAACATAGTACAGAAAGAAATAACACTGGATGGAATTTAAAATGCTTTCAAAATACTCATAAAACACATTGGGTACATTTTTATTTAAAGGGACACTCCAGTGCCAGGAAAATAAATAGTTTTCCTGGCACTGCAGGTCCCCTCTCCCTCCCTACCCCCATCCCATGTTGCTACCCCTTCAGTGACTTACCTGAGACCACCGATGATGTCCCTCGGCGGTGGTTTAGGGTCCGCCCACGCTCCTCTCCCATCAGTCGGCGGGGAAGACAAATTGCGCATGCTCGGCCGTCGGCGGGATGAGACCTAATGTGCATGCGCACGCGCATTAGACCTCCACATAGGAAAGCATTGAAAACCTGTGCTATAGACCAGGAAGTGCCCTCTAATGGCTGTCTAGTAGACAGCCACTAGAGGAGGAGTTAACCCTGCAATGTAATTATTACAGTTTATGAAAACTGCAATACTTACAGTTGCAGGGTTAAGGGTAGTGGGAGTTGGCACCCAGACCACTCCAATGGGCAGAAGTGGTCTGGGTGCCTGGAGTGTCCCTTTAAGAGTTTTTTTTTTTTTTTTAATTAGAAGTGTTTGTCCAATTTGTTATCTTAGCATACTTAATCCTGAGTGTAGCAACTCAATGTTTGCAAACACAATATTTAAAGGCACACTTCAAGCACCATAACCACTACAGCTGTACGTAGTGGTTATGGTGCCAGGATCCTTCCCAGTGTAAGCAGTCAAACCGGTTTAATAACATGTCCGAGCTCTGCCTGACACTCTCAGCCAATGATCTGGCCCTGCATTGTAGGCGTTAGCTTAGGGAAGCGAACAAAATAGCCTTGCAGGAGTTTCTTTCTGAGGAGGAGATGACGGATAGGTGCCCGGCAGACCCCGGGTAAGTTGTCAAATCGTCCTTAAAAGGTGAACAGTCTCGTCAGCACTATCTTTTAATAAAATGATCCTTTCATCAGGTTTTAAAATGAAATGGGCTCTTTGTTAAATGAAGTATATGTAAAAAAATGAGAGAAACCTATTTTTACCTTTAGTATATGGCCTTGGGTCAGACTGTTTGAATTTGACAGTTATTGGGTCTGATGATGTCAGTGCACTGCAGGGAGTGAAGACCAAGACACTATATGGAGGTTTACAAATAGAGGCATACCTAGGGTCTCTTATTGTATCCCCCACCCCCCATTCCTGCACCAAATCATGAAAAATGTAAAATGTCAGGGTTTTTTTTTTATTTATTTTTTTTAGATCAATTAAAAAAAATAAAAAAAAGTATTATTTGCATTTCCATTAAAGATAATGTTTAGGTTATACGGTTCCTTTAAAATTTTATTGAATCAAAAAACATATATTGCCTACAAGCATAGTGCTCAAATGGGATTTAGGCTAATCATGTGGTATCACATTCATAAGAAATATAAAACCTTGATAAAACTAGGGTTGCCACCTGGCCGAAGCCGGTACTGCAATAATACCGCCAATACAAATGACGGTATTTTTCTCAGTATAAACGGAGGTTAAACTGTAATACCGGCGCCGGCCAGTAGGGGGTCACTGTGTGGAGAGAGGCAAGCATAGGGAATTTCAACTACTCCCTCCCTGCCTCTCTCTACTCACTGACTCTGCAGGTGGAGCAGTGAGAATCCAGCCAGCAGCTCAGGTAGGTGAGGAATCGGGGGAGACAAGTGGGAGGACATGCTGCAGTGAGAGGATCGGGATACTGATGGAGATAGGGATACTGGATACCAGACGTCCTGGTTTGACTGGGATTATCCCTATTTGGAAGGGCAGTCCCGGCGTCCAGTTGCTAATTCTGTCCCAGCCGGTGCAGTTGCACTTGGGCCCACATACTGTTGGAGGCCATCGGGTGTCCCTTGCACTTAGGCCTACTGGATCCCAGGGAAGCCAGCCTCCTGCACCAAAACGGCATGGAAAAAGGATGGCAGCTAACAGTATGGAAATAATTACTTGTATCTTTGTATTTTTCAGTGTGTATGTGTCAATATGTGTGTAACTGTGTGTGTGTATCTGTGTTACTCCCGACTCCTTGGTGCCTCACCTTTAGATATTCCAATTGGTCCCAGTGTCAACTCTAAAAACTATGGTAAGCCTATATATATGGCTGAAGTATCATGTCAATACTAAAGGTAGGGCTGCATATTTCTTTTTTTCTTTTTTCTTTTTTTTTTACATATACTTCATTTAACAAATAAGTTTTTCCTTTCAAAACTTGATGAAATAATCATTATATTAAAAAACAGTGTTGGGGTGACTTTTGTTCTTTAAGCAATGTTCCTACTTGCTCTGAAAGTGGAGTGGAGGCAATCCTAGCAACATAACCACTATAGCAGACTGTTGAAGCTATGATGATTTAAGTCGTCCTTTAAAGGGAAAACCTGTTTTCCTGGCACTATAGGCTCCTGCAGTGCCCCCCTCCTGTGGGTCTAAAGGGGTTAAAACCCCTTCAGCCACTTACCTGAATCCAGCGCCGATGTCCGCACGCGCATTAGACCTCTCCATAGGAAAGTATTACTCAATGCTATGGGGAACATTTGACACTGGAGGTCCGTGAGGACGTCCAGCATCAGATAACGGATCCAAAAGTCTGTTTGGATTCCGGAAGCCCTCTTGTGGCTGTCTGTTAGATAGCCACAGAGGGCAGACTTAGAGCTGCAATGTAAATATTTTCTCTACCGGCCCTACAGGGATGCTGGGCAGCCGGCCCAGATCCCCAGCGGCAGCTGAAGTTACAGGGAGAGGAGACAACTGGTCCCTCTCCCCAGTGGCACTACATCCTACCAGGAGAGGAGACAACCAGTCTCAACCCCCAGTGGCAGTGCATCTCACAGGGAGAGGAGACAACTGGTCTCTCTCCCCATAGGCAGTGCATCTCAGAGGGAAAGGAAACAACTGGCCTCACTCCCCAGCAGCAGTGCATCCTACAGGGAGAAGAGGCAACCGGTCTCCCTCCCCAGTGGCAGTGTATTCTGCAGGAAGTGGAGACAATTGGTTTCAGTCCCCAACAGCAGTGTGTGTTACAGGGAGGGGAGACAACCGGTCTCACTCCCCAGCGGCAGTGTACCTTGCAGGGAGAGGAGACAACCCGTCTCTCTCCCCAGCGGCAGACAGAGTCACAGGGAGAGGAGAGCATCGTCCTCAATCCCCAGCGGCAGGGTGAGTTTCAGGGAGAGGAGACAAACGGTCTCTCACCCCCCCCCCAGTGGCAGTGTGTGTTACAGGGAGTGGAGACAACCGGTCTCACTCCCCAGTGACAGAGTGTGTTATTGGGAGAGGAGACGGTCGGTCTCTCTTCCCAGTGGCAGACAGAGTTACAAGGAGAGGAGAGTATCGTCCTCCATCCCCAGCGGCAGAGTATATTATTGGGGGAGGAGATGGCCGGTCTCTCTCCCCACCGGCAGTGTGTGTTACAGGGAGTGGAGCTAACCGGTCTCACTCCCCAGCAGCAGTGTATCCTACAGGTAGTGGAGTGTGACGTCCCTCCTCCCCAGCAGCCGAGTGTGTTACAGGGAGTGGAGACAACTGGTCTCACTCCCCAGGGAGAGAAGTGTTTCGGCCTTCCTCCCCAGCGGCAGAGTATATTATTGGAAGAGGAGACAGTCGGTCTCTCTCCCCAGCGGCAGAGTGTTTTAAAGGGAGTGGAGACAGTCGGTCTCCTTCCCCAGCGGCCGCCAGAGACACCTTGGGAGGAGACAGTCAGTCCCATTCCCCAGCAGCTGGGGTTGCCATCCAGAGACAAGCCCCCTAGCATGGATGGTGCAGATGGGACCGAGGTCTCTGCACCAGCCCTACAGGGATGCTGGGCAGCCTACCCAGATCCCCAACTGCCCATTCC